GTCCTCTCTCTTCCCTTTTTTGAAGATGGGGACCACGTTAGCTATCTTCCAGTCATCTGGCACCTGGCCCGAGCACCACGAGCACTCGTAAAGCCATGCCAAGGGCCCTGCAATAACCCCAGCTAGCTCCCTCAACACCCTGGGGTGGACAGCATCTGGACCTGCTGACTTGAACACGTCCAGCCCCTCCAGAAGCTCTCTAACCCGGTCCTCCCCAACTTGAGGTCTGGAGGCGTTCTGTTGTGTCTCGCTTAATGTGATTAAGCGAGACACAAACAGGATCCTGTTTCTATAATCAGCTTCTGTAAACTGTAATGCTTATTACCAGGAATAGTCCCATTAACTATTGTGCATGGAACTACTCCTAGTAGCAGGCAATATATAGTTATTTGCCTGATAGGCCTAAGGACAGAAGGATGAAAGCAGGGCTTTGTCTCATTTCAAACAAAAGCGGAAAGAACAAAAACACGTTTTGTAACTGTTTGCTAAAACTTATTGCGAACACAGCCACTTTGCCAAAATGCAGCAGTATAGTCTATTTGTCCTGTACTAAGCAAAGGTTCTCAGTTTGTAACACTAAATCAGTGGTTCTTAAACTTTTTTGGACTTGAGGCACCCTTCACTGGACTCAAGGCATGCCTTCATAACTTTTGTGAATTGACTGGCAACCAATTTCAAAAACTAATTTATAGTACAGTGCTGACCTACTTACAGAGGGGCCAGATAGTGGGGTAGAGGATGGTCAGACAGGGACAAGACTGATCCTGTACTTGTCTGCTTATCTTATCACATCTCACGTATCCTCAAACCTTATATCTGGCACCCTTCAAGGGATCTGACAGGACCCCAGTGTTCCCTGGCACCCTACTTGAGAATTGCTAAATGGTTACACTTAGGGTGCAGACAGATGTTACATTTTTCACATGATCTGGCCCCTGAAAGTGCTCTGCTGCCATGACCTAATGCATGTGCACAGCTGCAGAGTGCTTTTAAAATGGCTGATTGCATGAAAAATTAACCCTTGTCAAGTTTGTTATTAGATCAAGGTGCTCTGCTTTAGTGCACCCTAGAGAACTTGTTCCCTTGAGGGTTAATTTTTCATGCAGGGGCAGGGCTGTCAGCCAGGAGGGAGGGGGAAGCCAACAGCACAGAGCTGCTAGCTTGTGTGGCCTGAACTGGAGGAGGGGTGGGAGTGTGGTACAGAGCCCTCTCGCCTCACAAGCCCCACCCCCCCAGCTGGGGTACTGGTGGGGAGTCAAGCTGGGCCTGCAAGGTAAGAGGGCTCCATCCCCCTGCATCCCCAGCTCCAGCCAGGCTTTTTGAAAATGGTAGCAGTAGCCGCTGACTGCTGTGCCCAACCTGAGCTGGAGGAGGGGGTGAAACAGAGCCTCCTTGTCTCTTGGGTGTGGCCCAGCTCCCCCTAGTACTCCAGCCAGAGTAGTTTGGTGGGGGGAGCATGAGGCCTGGGGGCGCTGTTCCACGTCCCCCCCCCCAGCTCAGATCAGGCAAGCCAACAGCTCCATGCTGCTGGCTTCCCCCTCCCTTCTGGTTGACAGCCCTGGAGCTGAGAAGAGAGGATGAGGATAGGGAGAGGTGGAATTCAGCAGCCTCCTTGGAGGCTGCTAGAGAGCACCTTCTGGCTGACCAAGGGCCAGTGCAGGCAGGCTTAATCCCTCCGGCCCCATGGGCAAACGTCTGTTGTTCAGAGGGGGCTCTAATTTGCAGCGCTTTATGTAAAGCACCATGAGTTAAAGTGTAGACCTGAACATCAGTAGGCACCCTTAGTAAAGTTAGAACAATAGATAACATTTGTTTTTCAAATTTTAACAAATAAATGACATTATTTTGCATCTATTTGTGAATTTTAACAAGTTGTTTATGACTCTTTGCATATATGCACAGAAATTATATGTTATAGTATTAAAATAAAGTGTAATAACAAAGAACTGTTACTGAACTGCATCAGACTGTATTTTAACATTTCTATCAATATATTAGCCTGATAACAACCACTGGAACTCCTTTTTATCCTTTGAAATTAGAGAAATCTCAAACAGAAATAGAAAAATTTGAGAAGCATTGCTCGGTAGCCTCTTTCACTCCAGTCTTGTCTTAATGCTGCTTAGTAATGGGTAAGGGAATATCAAATGGTTAGGGCAAGGGATAGGAAGTCAGGAAACCTGCATTCTCATTCTCATTCTGCCATTAACCTGCTGTGGCAAGTTACTTAGGCCACAGGCACTTGAGTAGGGTATCCCAGGAAAATCCCAGCTGCCCCAACAAAGAAAAAGGTTGTGCCAGCCTTGTGAACTGAAGCAGATCTATCTTAATCCAGGAAAGTTTCCAATCCAGCATAGTTTTCTCCTGGGGCAACTGTATGATTGGGTTTTTGCCTTAAGGTTACCTGTTTTGTAGCAGCTTTGTTCAGGTAGCCATGGACTTAGTTACTGTGTGCCTTTGTTCACCTATATGTAAAAGGGGCTAGGTATAGACATTTAAAAAGCCTGAGGCAGATTCAAACTAACTTACCTGGGTTTCTCTAAGCAGACTAGGGTTAGTCCAGGAGCAAATAGAACACAAATTTGCCTTTTCATGGGGGAGGCACAAAGGCTGCTGATACCAGCAGGTTGGAGGTGCTGCTGCACACAGCAGGTGCCCAGTGCAATTGCAGGAATTGTGATTGCAGGAATCATACTGAGTGCCTGCTGCCACTGCCTGCAGTTCACCACAACTTTGAGGGGCCCAATTCTTCCTTCTTCAGAGCACTCCTCCCACCTGCCTAGGGACATTGTTCAAAGATCAAAAAATACTGAGCTACAGACACCCTCCCCTCCCTGTGGCTGACAGCTTGCCACAGGCAGGAGGTGGTACTGGGGACAGAAACTTTTCTGGCTGGCTCTGTGACAGCCCAAGACCAGGGCCCTCTGCATGCTCATCCAGAGCAGCCAAGCCCAGCGGAGTTCCAGCATGCCTCCCTGAAAGAAGAGGCTAGTGGGGGCCGGCAAAGGAGCCTGGGATGCTGGTGGACAGTGACCTAACATGAACTGATAGGGGAGCTGGTACTGAAGTTCAATAGACAGATCTAACCTAAATCGATTAAGTCTAATACCTCATTGATCCAGATCTATCTTAGATGAGATTCCACCATTTTTAAGCTGGTCTGTGTGCCCTGATCTTCTGTTCTGTTACAGCAGTGGTCACCAACCAGTGGATCTTGATTCACCAGTAGATCTGAAAGCCTCTTGCGGTATATCTTGGAGCCTCCTGGAGTCAATCCAAGGCTGGAGTGAGGGG